TTCACTCGCTGTGAGAGATGAAATAATGCATCATTTTGGAACTTTTTAGAAAAATTTTCCGTTACCCAGATAATTCCAAGGATGAGGGATTTTTTTCCGGCTTTAAGAAAGTCATCTCATTACCCAGAAATCTCTCATTCTCGGAAGTGTGTGTATGTGTGTAGACACACACACACAAACACAAAATACATACAAATAAATAATAAAGGGAAAATTCTCTTGCAAATAATCAGAAACAAGACACCAAAATGTATTAAAAATATTAGTCTATCCTCAAGCCAACTACGTGCTTTCTTATAACTTTAATCGTAAAGCAACAAAGCACGGTGTTGACTTGCAGGTAGACTAACATTTTTAATACATTTTTGTTTTGTTTCTGATTATTTGTGAGAGGATTTTCCCATTATTATTTATTTGTATGCATTTTGAGTGTGTCTGTGTGTCTACACACATACTGTACAGTATATACAATACAGGTAAAAGAAATAATTGGCCTAAGGGTAAACACAAAGGAAATACAGTTAACCCTCACTTTACGCGGTCCCACATTCCGCGTTTCCACGTTTACGCGGTGCCCTGCCGGAACCCAGGATGCTCACATTCCGCGGTGCGTGTACCCCTTTACGCGGAGAGCGGCTGGCGAGCCGCGCCATTTTTGGATCCAAACCTCCCGCCATCCGCCATGTTGTGTAAGCGGCGCGAACATGGTGCGCACAAGGTCGCCCAGTCATCAAAACATTACCGAGTTCTTCACCCGCCACCCACCACAGCCGGCCCAAGTCAGTGATAGTGATAATTATAGTGAGGATATGGACTTATATGGACTTTGAGGGGTTTGACAAAGAGGCCCTGCAAGCCTCTGTGGTGGATAGTGATGCAATTGATACAAGTGATACAGGTAAGGGCCAATAATCTGCCCTCTGCCTCGTAACCAACCCCCCATCCCCGTGTGCCCAGCCATCTTTTCTACTAATGTAAGTGCTAAAAAACCTAATATTATTGATATTTCTCTTAATTATTAATTGTGTGCGCATACCATCATAAAGTTAAGATAATGTTTTTACTACAACATAGTTGTGTGTCGTCAAAAAGTGGAGTTTGGGGATCGGCCCGGACTCCATTTCATTTAATCCCATATGTTAATGTTATTCACTTTACGCGTTTCTCACTTTACGCGGGACCCTCCGGGTTACATTAACCGCGTAAAGTGAGGGTTAACTGTACAGGTATACATTTCTCTGCACACAGGTAAAAATGTACCCCTTCCCTCCTGGTCAGCAAATGATATTTGCAGATTTGGCTATTCGTGGCCATTTTGAGAACCTAACTCCCGCGAATTTTAAGGGCATGCTGTATAATGAAAAAATTTCCCTATGCAGTAGACCCTTGCCATTCGCGGGTTTGCTATTCGTGATTTTGTAGATTCGTGGTAAGCAGATGGAGGCTATGGTGGCTAGCTCACGAGCCTTTTCCCACAGCGCAACGAGTCACCCCGAACACCCGCAGCGTCTCCTCTCCCTGCGTTTGTGCTCAACCATTGCCTGTGACGCAGCATCTCATGTTGTACTCTCAAAACTTTAGTGTTTCTGTGTGAAATGGCCCCTAAAAGACTGCTTAGTTATAGTGATGCTAGTGGAATGCAATGTAAAAGGCAGAAGTCAGTGATGACCTTGACATAGATAAGTTAAAAGAGGGGACGAGTGTTACTGTGACTGGTCAGTTATTTGGTATAGGTATAGTACAGTAGAACACTAAGGTGGCACAAGTTGCTATTCGCAGTTTTCCTATTTGCGCTATTCCTTGGAACCTAGCCCTCGTGAATAACAAGGGTTTACCGTATTTATTAGCGATGTACATATGAAATGACTGTACAGAGTACCGGTATAACGTATAGTGAGGGCCCCCTGTACTTCTTATCCAAGAATAGGTATGTGGGTATACAGTAGTACAGGGTATATTATATTACTCCAAATTACCTCTTATAAGTCACAGTACTATAGTAAAAGTTAATGAAAGTTTTTGTGTACAGACAGTTGTTGGGAAGTGTTCATGTGTATAAAAATTGATACAGTATTCCAATTTTGTCAATTGTGTTTGGGATGGCATTTCATCCTGAAGTCTCCTCATACCCTTGAATGCTCACAAACAAAAAATTGGACTTGCCTACCATCTTGTGTATCGCCGGCAAGGCCGTGGACTCGTAACACATGTCTTGCCTGCGGTGCCCACCGCTTCTCTGTGGATGTCGGTCACACGAGAATAACCCGTTATACTGTAGTACATCCTTCTTTCCTCACACAGCCAAACTGTGGAATGCTCTGCCTTCTTCTGTGTTTCCATACGTATACAATCTATATCACTTTAAAAAGCTGGTTTTCCAGCATCTTTGTGGTGTAGATTAATACATAGTACAGTATAACTTTTTTCTTTTCTATATTTAATTTATTTCTGTTCTTATTTTTTTGCCCCCTAGGCCCCGTTGTAGGTCGTTTGACCTGTGTCCAGGTGGGCTAATTCCCGTAAAAAAAAAAAAAAAATAGAAATACATACCCTAGGATGGCAGAAGAGATACATTATTTTAGGTTTGTTTAGGTTAGGAATGTTGGTTTGGGCGTTACTTTGTTAGTAACAGTTCGTTTGAAAAGTTCGCTGGTAAGGTTGCTTAGTATTAGGATCCCTTTGCCGTTGGCGACAATATCCGCACCAAATTTCTACATTAGAAATAATATAGATAAAGAAAATTAGGATGATACTGTACAATTCCTCTAAACAAACTGGTATTTTAAAGGAACGAAACACGTTTTCTTCCAAAGAATTTTCCCAAAGTGACTCATGACACATGCACTGAACTGTAAGCTATTATAGAAAGGTGTCTCTCCTAAGGAAGGAGACTAAAAAAGCTTGATATTCCAAAGCTGACTGACAAAAGACAAAATGGAGACTTTATTCAAACTTTAAGATTGTAAACTATTTAGGGAACAGTAATGCAATTTTTTTTTTTTTTGCTCCAAGAGATACTCAAACCAGAGGACAAACACAAAGCTTGCACAAACCCAAACCCTGTGTAAACAGCACAAAGTTTTCCTTTAGCCAGTAAAATTTTAGTTTCGGTTATCCCTGTATTTAGATATCTAAACTAATTTAATCCAACTTAACCGACGTGGGGGGGGGTCTTGCCCCCCACATACCCCACCAAGATTCCCCAGATGACTGAAACTATAATAATACCCTTTAAGCCATTGAGTTCTTAACTCTTGAAACAGTTTACTGCAAAGATATAGTTTACTCTGAAAATGCTTAAAAAAAAATATTCCTTTGGTCTATGAGAGAACAAGGGGCGGGAAGTAATATCACTGCAGATACCCGGAACTATTGCTAACTCATGTGTACTATTTATAAGTTCAATAGAAAACCATGCAAAAGTAGGTGGTTTACCTGGACAAGTATTACCCCTCAAAATAAGGCTATTTTACCTTGACCAGTGAGTTACTACTATTTTACAGTGGGTGCACTCTGATTTGCTACTCGTCCATTACCAGCGAACAATATGGTAACTAAATTTGACCGTGACTCTGTCAGCATTTGGCATTTATTTTGCTGTGAGTCAATCATTGTGCAGCTGCAAACATACCTAACCATATTTCTGTTGTGCATGGAAATTTATCATTATAAAAGAGGCGACATTTACTGGAACCTGACCTAACCAACACAACAAACCTACCTAACTTCCTAGCCGATGGGCAGACCCCCCCCACCATATTAAACAGAAAGTACTTAGCTAATCAAAGCGCACTCGTGGTAAAATAGCGTTAGTAAGAACCTAGCCAGTCACTGCAAAATATCCACTACGAAAAAATTAATAAAAAGCTTTAAAGGTATTATATACTGTACTCAATCAATTGGTAAAGCTATCGAGTTAGAAAGTGCCCTTACTCAAAAAAAGTATAATTTTCCCCATTAATAACACAATGAGCATTCATTAACAATTGCTGATTTTCCGTTATTAATACGATCAACAGAATTGTAAAATTTTACCTAATAATTTAACAATTTAATAGTGCCCATACTTAAATAAATACTGGTTTGCTATATTAATAAACTGATGAGCATTCATCAACAATTACTGGATTTGTCTTTACCAAGACAAGCATTCACTCAGTTTTTCTCTTAAAATATATCTCTGGGAGAGTATTTATGAACATTCGCTCAAACATTACCATTAAGTGAAGATTTTGTTTCCTTTATGGTATCCACAGGCGCACGACCAGCAATAAAGGTTGACCTGTAAAAACCCACTATCCCCCCCAATAATTACCGAGTCCCACCACAGCAGTAATCCCCCTTTCAACTGACCCTCTCACAACTTTAAACTCTCGACATTCCATAGTGAAAAGACTTCGTTTAGGAATTTTACGATATCGACGATTGCTGTAAAAAAAAAAAAACATTCCCAAGTTGTGGGTCAGCTGGCGCCAAGTGGGAGCCATAAGTGCAGTCATTCCGTTTCACCTCACTTCCCCGCCCCACACACATTCTTCCACGCCCTCACAAGCCACTAAAAGTTACTAATCATCAAGAAGAGAGAAATAACGCCATAAAGATATTAGTTACCGGCGTTGAAAGGAACCGATCTTGAGGAACAATGTTTACAGCAACACACGTCAGGAAGCAAGCTGGGCTCTGATTGGCTGAGTCTCGTGTCGACTGTACAAATAAGATTCTGATTGGTTAGTAACTATAGACGGTAGAAGAGTTGAACATAAAGGATCTGATTAATTATAAGCTTATTCTAATTCTATTTTATTAAAGTCCGTTGATGTAATTTGACCCAGAACCGACATATATGAGTAATCCTATCATAACAGCATAATTATATTTAAGCATTGTTATCCAAAAAGATTATATATATCCTTTTCTATTAAATATTAAAAATTCGAAATTGTTTTTTTTTTGAGAATAAACAGTCTTGGAACATGTATGAAACAAAACTTTGTGTCGTTTATTGGCATCCATATTGGCGTTTCATTGTTGTTGACAGAGGTAGTTGTTGGGTCGGTGGCTGGGAATAATGTCTACACTGTCAGAGAGGGAGAAGAATAAACTCATCCAAGAGAAGTGTCAGAGTATCCTGTCAGACTTACTCAAGGACGAAGACAACAAGTACTGCGTTGATTGTGATGCTAAGAGTAAGTTGAAGTGTGACGTGACTCATGGTGGATCAGCTGAGTGACAGTGCACACGTACCTCCTTATCACGTCCCACATATTTACTTCATTTTTCTTTGTTGGTTGAGTAGCTATGGAAGACTAACCCGCCAGCGAAATTGATTGAGGACAAGGTAATTATATAGGACTAACCCGCGAGCGAAATTGATTGAAAACAATTATAAAAATGTCGGATTTTCAATGTTATTTTATAGTGGAGACTTGTAGTTTGTGGAATTATGTTAAAAATTGAAAATTTTAAAATAAACGCTACTTAACATATGGGTTAATATATAGGACTAACCCTCCAGGGCTGCATAGCGCCGATGCGGCTATATCATCTCATGTCCAGAAAATGCCTCACATTTCACCATATTGTAGTAAGTTCTTTTTGTTTAATATACCGGGTAAGTTAGGTAAGGTTAGGTAGGTTTGGTTGGTTAGGTCTGTTCTTCATAACCATTAATGTTAAGTAGCTTTTATTTAAAAAATATCCATTTTCTAACATATTTCCACAAACTACAACAGTCTCCACTATCATGTAACAATGAAAATCCGGCATTTTTAGAATTTTTTTCAATAAATTTCGCTCGCAGGTTAGTCCTATATAATTATCAACATTTGTTGCTATGAAGAACAGATGATACGGCAGCATCGGCGCTATGCACCCCGGGCGGCGGAGTGATTTACTGTGTTGGTAGGTTCCACAATAAATGATTATCATATCAGAACTCACTGATCAAAATAATGTAAGAAAATAAAATAAACAGTCTATGTAAAGGAACAATGCCGTGATCTTTAACCCTTAGGCCCTGGGTGACGTTCCAGAATGTCCGCCTATTTCCGCCACTGTTTAAATGCCCAGTGCGGGTTATCGGCTTCCAGTGGGACTACTTGTCTGTCACTCCACACCTCGGCCACAGGGAAGCTTCCTGAACATAGTTGCCTTCTGTTGTTTGTTTCATTTTCATTGTTAGTCCATTTTATCATGTTGTATCAAAGTAATATTGCTAAAAGTAGTGTGTATTGTAGTGTAGTATTTCTGTAAAAAATGCTATGATTGCTATAAATGTATTTATTTGTGTAATTCTTATTTTATGCATTACTTGCTCTACCAAACACAAAAACAGACAGGCAGACTGGTGAGTGTTGCAAGCACATTTTATGAAAATTAATGCAAATAAAATATTTTAAATTAATTATTTATAGCAAATAATTATTAAGATCAGTAAATATATGCATTATTGGCCACCTCAAACACAAAGGTGAGCTAAAAGTATCTTCTAAGTGCGTAAGGACCACGAGCGTCAGCCGGCAAACCAACACTGGCTCCTTATCTCCCCCCACCTCCTCCCTCCCTCCACGCGGCCAGGAAAGTTTCTAGAGAGTCAATATACAGTGTAGTTTTTCTTACATATTTTTTATTGTTTTATCATTTAAAAAGGTTAAAAATTATTTTTGAAAAAGTTGATTTTTCCCCATTTACCCCCGGGTGGGGAAAACTACCAGCGGCACACTAACCTGGGGCTTAAGGGTTAAACAATTGAAGGGTCTCGTTGTCTTTACCCCTAAATTCACAAATAACTTTCCATGGAAGATCGGCGACAACCTTCACATGACATGCTGAAAAACAACTGCCCCGGGTGCGGGAAGAGCCCCTCAGCGGAGCGCGGCCTCATTACTGCCCGCAAGATAAACTACTGTAGTGCGTGTCTAGGCGCCTTATTATCTATGAAACGAACAATTTCCACAATAAATTATCATATCAGAACTCACTGATGAAAATATTTTAAGAAAATAAACAGTAATAAAAATAACTCGCTCACCGGTTACTTCTTTATATTAACCCCATATAACCAAACTAAACCTTACCTAACGCCCTACCAGGGATTCCGCCCCCGGACCTCGGTGACCCTAGCCTGGGGCTTTGCCCCCGGATCGCCAAACACTATGTAATAACCCTAGAGTCAGGTGGTCAGCCTCCACGAGAATATAAATAGCCGTTACAGTACGGTATTTCTTACCTTACTCAGAGTCTGAGTCAGGGACCAGACTCTGTTCTCTAAAGACTGGACCAGACTGGCTTCCTCTGTTCTCTAAAGTTTCCTTATTTTTAGAATGAAATAATACGATAAACTTCCAATAATCGAAATCGCACCCAGCACGTTATGGCTCCATGTTGCAACTGATTAAATTTGTCCCGCATCCTACCACCCACGCCGAATATTGAATGCTAATTAGTTGAATCAAAAGTTGAGATTTTGTATTGAATTTGATTGGCTGCCGCCTCCGCCCTAGATTTGATTGGCTGCGGCCACCCCTGATATGATTTGCGGCCACCTCCTGGCACATGCGCGGGAGGTAAGCGAACGTACGAACACACTAAATTTGAGCAACAGCGTAGGGGCAACAGGTGCTCTGATTTTATTCTTTTTAAGATTAAATAACTTCCTTATCAATTTGCAACGGAAGTGTAATATAAGAAAATGATCATAGAAAAAATAGTTCTATCGATTGAGTGTAGTGAATTTCTGGAATTCTGTGGTCCGGCACCGGTCAGGTCCCGAGGTTGCCCGACTAGAGAGGTACAACCTGTAAAAGACTTTGGTATAAAAAAATTTTGTGTTTTCTTAAAAGAATTGAGTTCCCATCATTATATTGTGTAGAAATAATAATTTTTTTTTAATAAATCTGGAACGAACGGTTCTATTAACAAAATCTCAGTTAACGAATTAGCTCCCATAGGGATTTACAGTTCGATTAACGAACAAAACTTCAATTAACAAAATCCTTACGACAAACACGTTTTGTTGTGCCCATCAGCTGATCGGCTTGTCTGCCAATACAGTAATTGGTTCTATGTTTACATTCGTTTCCAGTGAAGTAAATATCAAGAAAGTTGGTCTCGAATATTTTGGCATTTTTACATTAAAATTATTGGTCATTCTGAAATTTAGTTAACTTATTGATAATATAGACAGTACAGGGAACAGTTTTTGTGCACCCATCAGCTGATTGAATCACCCAACAACCCTCCTCAGTTTAACTTTATTTACAGTGGAGTGAATATCGAATTTGGTCTCTTGAATATTTTTGCATTTTTACGTTAAAATTATTTGTCATTCTGAAATTAAGTTTGCATATTGATAATATACAGTGCAGAAATTATTGTGAAACATGAAGAAGGCATTAGAACCAATGCACTCTGTAAAGAATATGGCATGTCATCATCGACTGCCTCTACAATCAGCTGTTTGATATGTAAACAAAACTGCCGGTAATGCGACATACACACCTCAAAGTAAGTTAAAATACAGTATTCTTTTGTTTTTTATTTATTATTATACAGTATACTGTACAGTACAGTACTGTATTTAGTTTATATTTAATGTTTTGTTAATTCTATTACCAGTATACTGTACTTTGTATGTACTTTTTCTGTGAGTTGGAACCAATTACCCAATATCCCATTGAAATAATAGATTCGGTTAACGAACGACTGTGGAACGAATTATGTTCATTAACCGAGGGACCACTGTATTTTTCCATGTCAGGTGCTGGACCCCAGTTTGGTTTGCACGAGAATCCGGATTCATCAAGTCTGGGTTAGAGGGAGCTTATTGTAATACAGTGCAGTACAGTGGGGTATGCTATAACGAATCTAATTGGTTCTAGAACCTTGTTCGTTATAGCATTCGTTCGTTATAGGATTAAGCCGTTCCAGGCCCCCAAATACAACCACTTAACACTGAAAAATATAATATAAAATTGTAAAAAAGTGCATAAATATGCATCTAAACCCCTGAAATAAAGAATATCATTAATACAGGTTGTACCTCTCTAGTCCGGCATTCTGTGGTCCGGAACGATTTTAGTTTGTCCAATAGGTAGACAGGCAGCTTTTTTTTTTTTTTTTTTTTTTTTTTTTTTTTTTTTTTTTTTTTTTTTTTTTTTTTACTTATCTGAATTATTATTATTATTACAGGAGTATTAAATTTTTGCCCCTCAGGCCCCAATGTGGGTCAGTGACCTATGCCCGGGTGGGCTAATCCCCTTAAAAAACAAAGCCGCGGGAAATTAAGGTTTGTTTACATCCGGCAGTTCGGCTGCTCTCTCTCTCTCTCTGCTTGTCTATACAGAGTACAACATTTAACCCTTCAATATATATGAGCAGTAAATAAGTGTTGCTTTCATATTCTTATGTAGAGTAATGACGATATGTTTTCACATGTGCGCACTTACATACGCGCAGTCTCACTTTTTTTTTACCATTAATGGTTAGCTACTTATATTGTTCCATTTATTAACATTAAATAACATTACAGGTACTTCAAGCAACCATATTCATTTTTTTACATTAATTTTACTACAGCTAAACTCAGGGTCTTATTTTCTTCAGTTTTATATGTAGAACCAATCAGTCACTGGTTTCGTAAGCTTTAACATAAACAATGCCGGCAGCCGTCTCGTCTCCTCTAATATTCCACGTATTATTAATAAATTGTATTGTTAATTTTGCACACATGTACATTAATTCAATAAAAACAAATTCAGAAACATTAATTAAAATATATATGAACAGTAAATAAGTGTTGCTTTCATATTCTTATGTAAAGTAATGATGATATGTTTTCACGTGTGCGCATGCGCACTTACATATGCGATCTCTCTTTTTTCTTTACCATTATCGTTAGCTACTTCTATTGTTCCATTTATTAACATTAAATAACATTACTTAAAACAACCATATTAATTTTACTACAGCTACAACCAAGGTCTTATTTTCTTCAGTTTTATATGTAGAACCAGTCAGTCACTGGTTTTGTAATCAACGAATACAATGCTGTGTCATTTCCTCGTGTGTTTTAATATTCTACGTATTATTAATGAATTGTATTGCTCATTTTGCACACATGAACATTAATTCAATAAAAAAGACATTCAGTAATAAACAATAATGAATCTTTTGTACATAAGAGAAA